TACCCCTTTCAAAGTGTCCCCCATCGTGTGTCCCGTTTTCTAAAATTTCGTCTCTTCCCCGTGCGGCCCCGTATGAAACTTCAAATTCCGAATTTCTCCCACCCCGGTCTTACCCCACTGAAAGTTCTGCCTACCCCAATCAAAGTTTCCCCCATCGTGTGCGCCGCCTTCTAAAATTTCGTCTTTTCCCCGTGTGGCCCCGTATGAAGCTTCAAATTTCAAATTTCCCCCACCCCGATCTACCCGACTGAAAGTTCTGACTACCCCAATCAAAGGTTCCCCCATCGTGTGCCCCGTTTTCGAAAATTTAGCCTTTCCCCGAGCAGTACCGTAGTGCGCAATCAATTTGAAATTAGAAATTTCCCCTGCCTCAGTCTACCCCACTGTCGAAAGTTTCTTTCCCTGAAGTTTTGCAAAATTTATTTCTACCCACAGTAGCCCCGTAGGAAGGTGACCTGGCAGCGATGAAGAAAAAATGAATCGGTCGTCGTGAAACAACTTCCACCTCGCATTGAACGAGCAAGCATCGTATTCGGAGTTTTCGAAATTCGCAAGGAAAAAAATTCGAGAGGGAGCAAAGTAGAGTCTCTTGCCAAATCGGAATCGAAAGAAAGCATGCATGCACGGCTTCAAAACCGCACAAAGCGTCGTAAGAGCCATGGCATCCACCACGATTGCGTTTGATTTGTTTTCCGGAATATCTATTTAGGGCCTGCTGAGTTGTAGTGTAGCAGCTTGACTTAGCAGACTAAGTGAACACGGAAACAGCTGGTGTAGTATGATGAAGAAATACAAGCAAAGCTCGAAGTGACAATTTTTTCATCAACATCTTCCCGCCGGTATTTCGTACCTTGACTACTTTTACTACCAGGAGACCAAGACGTATCGCCGCATGACACCATCGAGTCGTCCCTGCGAACATTGACTGGATTTAACGGAAGGCATTCAGCACGCAGCACTGTTTCAGTCGGAAAAACGTTTTCGAGGCCATTGTGACTCATCTTAGGCTTCTACTACCTGTGGAATGGAGACGAAGAACGCTTCTGCCACCACGAACAAGATGACGAAAATTGAGGACTCATCGTTGAATGAGGCAGGACCAGCTGCGGGGAGGCAAGAAGAACGGATACCGGGAATAACCCCTGCTACAACGCCGCATTTGGCAGCAGGAGAACTACAGAATCCGCAGAATCAGAAACAAAATCTCCAAACAAGTCCGATGCTATTTTACAGTGATGCTGGACTTGCGAAGACAGCTGTAGTTGACTGCGTGCAAGCAGACGATTTTCTTGCGCAGCCCACGCAGTCCGGGTCACGACCAGCGTCATCTTTAATCCAGGTCGCATCTGGCAACCAACAGGAGGTTGTGCAGCCCGCAGCCGCGGCTCGGAATGACAAGCAGGGCGTCGCGTGCCTACCTTCTGCAACGGTCTGCTCCACTTCCCTGTCGACTTCCAAACCGCCCACCACGGTGGACGAGAAACATGGCCGACAGGAACGCGAACTAGCGATCCGCGAGGGCGAGGGTCGTGAATCTGTGAAGGAGTTCGTACAGCGGGGAGAGGAACAGTTGATCAGCGGGCAGTTGGATGCAGAGCAACTCCGGGAGGAGAGACTTTTGAAACACCAGCGAGAAACTGAATCAAAATCTTCCACCACATCTTCTTCTCGCCAAAAGCGTGATTTGCCAGAAGACGAAAAGATTCCTTTTGACGAATTTGAGGATCCCGTGCTTCCGCTGGACGATGATGAAAGCGGCGAACAAACGATGATTCCGGACGACTTCTGCTCGATGACGCAGTTTGACGCTTGGTTGGAGCAGTTCGCCACCCACGGCGTCGAGGACCAAATGCACGCCGTGCGCCAGCTGGAGCAGGCATCGGTGCGCGAGCGGTGGAAGCGCATCCTGGACCGGTACAAGGAGTGGACGAAAGATTGCAAAGAGCACGGCATGTACCAACCGTGCACGCTCTTGTTTAGGAGCAGCACGACGAACAGTTCTGGCACGACAACGTCGAACTCCACCTCCACGTCGACCGGCGGGCTGCAAGATGACACGGAAAAGTTCGCTCGCTTGACGGCGCTCGCGGTACGGGAAGACGAGCGGGGGATGGGCACGAAGTACATGCGCGTGTTGAGCGGTCTGGTGCCGCATTTGGTGCTGCGAAAGCCGCGGAGCAGGAGCAGTAGTACCTCCGAGGTGGACACAACACAAAGTAGTACAACATTTTCCTCTGCAACTCCAACTTCGCTCGCCCCGCACGACGTGCTGCCGCGTATCAGGTTTTGGGATGAGAAGGAAGAGCCGAACGCGAAAAAACGCGTTCGTCCACAGGGAGCAGTGGAAAGCAAAACTCCGGGGAACAACAGCCCCCGTTACCTGGTCCTGCCTTGGCGGTATTACGACGAAATGGAGGGCGTGTCGCAGAACCTGGTGTGGAGACGAAGCAAAAACGCAGCGGAGATCCTCATCGAGTGCTGGCCCAATGTCTTCTACGCCGAGTTGATCGAGCTGTTGGTTGGCGAGTTGCAGAGCATCACAATTTATCCTCTGCAAAAGTATCGTACTCGTAGTAAAAATTGCATTTATGCATTACAAATGTCCTAGGCCTTCTCAAGGTAAATCAGCATTACAAATTCAATTTGTAATGCTGGGCTAATTTGTGATGCAATTTATACGAGTACGATGCTTTTGCATTGCATACAATTGCGGACCTCCAATACGGCGGAGTATTGACGGTCTCGGGTTTGATGGGGGTGTTGCAGTTTATCCTCCGTGGCACCGCAGAAGAAGGGTTTTGTTACCTCGAGTTCTACCGGAAGGCCTACGGGGCAGCGATTCTGCAGAGCATCACATTGGAGTTGCTGGGGAAAACCGGGGTGCTCGACGTCGTTCTCGTCCTGTTGTTCGGGCGCATCAGAAGTCTGGTAATGGTGAACGGCGGAAAGATAACTCGCGAACCAAAACGGCTGCGACCGACGTTCGTGCGGGTGCACGAGGAGATTGCAAAGTATACCAGCCACGAGTTCGACTACGATTCCAGGGGAGAGGAGTTCGCAGCCTTTGTGAAAGACCACTTTTACACCTGGCTGAAGCCGCTCTTGCGAGTTGCTGGAAGTGAAACGACAAGGACGAGGACGAGTAGCACTACGGCAGAAGGGGCAGATCGTACTGCTAGCACTTCATCCATCTTCGAAGAAACTACCACTACCTCCTGGTCCCACGAGCCAGTTTTGCGGCTGGTCGAGCGGGTTTTGGAATCAGCGAATAACCTGTACTACTTCTGCAGTGAGATGACAGCAAAAAAGAGGGCCGTGCAGATCCTGGCGGATTTTGATCAGCACACGAACGTATTGGAGTTTCTTCTCAACTGTTTGACAAGCGCCTGCAATGTTGTAGGTGCGGAGCAAGATCAGGAAATAAACTCTACTCTCGATCCCGGAGCGCCAACGCGTTGTATCTTGATGCTTCTGCCGCTGCTCTTGCAGCAGGAAAATGCAGAAGTCAACAAGCCGGCACACCGTGTGATCGCATTTGTCTGCAAGACATTGGTGGATTTTTTCAACAACCAAGAACAACCCGCAGAAATAACAGCCGGGCCGGGATCCTCGTCCTCTGGATCATCCGGAACACCATTCGAAAAACCACCAACAACGTTGCTGGACAAGAATTTCTACTTGCTCCTGCCGCAGCAGAAAATTTTCCTGACCTGCTTGTTCGAGTTGCTCGGGAAGACACTGCAGGTTTTGACCACGACGCCCCACGGGAAGCTGACCTACACGGTCGAAGAGCTACAGCAGCATTTGCGCCTCCTGCGGAAGGAAGATCTTCTTCTGTCCACGCTCGGGCCGCAACTCTGGGCCGTTTTCTACCGCTGGTACTCCGAGCGCAAAACGCCGGACACCGCCTGGCGGGCGATCCAGCGGATGTTCTATCAAATGCAAAAATGTCTGGGTCTGGATGGTGGCAAGGGCAACTTGTCATGGTAAATCTGAATCATGTAAAAATCTGTGTTACGTGAAGATTACCAAAAGCTGTCCACTTTTGAGCAAGTTAGAATGGAGTTTCTCATGCAGGATAGGTATGGCATTGTTTGGCAGAGACCTCGCAGAGTCTGTCATGCTAAGTCCCGCATTCCAGACCTCATAGGCGATCGAAAATCTGCATGACAAGTTTACATCACTTTTCCAGACCCAGACATTTTTGCACTTGATATGTTCGGGGAGTTTGCGAAAGTGGCGGACTGGCAGAGCCTGATTGCCGTTTTTCCGCCGATTGAGGCACAACTCCTGGAATTCGTGATGCAGGAGTTTCTCAACGAGGAAAATCTAAAGCAGTTTGACCTCGCAGTGTGCAAATCGCTGATGAAGCGGGTCAACGCCATCGACCGCAAGCAGAGTCTGGCGGAGCACCGGGCAGAAGGACAGGTCGTGGCTGATTTCTCCAAAATCCTGTACGACTTTGGACAGTTTTTGAACCACTTTATCCTCCGGAAGGAGGCTGCTGGTGCTGCTAGTAGAGAGACGCATGACGGCGAAATGAAGTCCGAAGTAGACCTAGTCCTCGGAAGAAACCTGGCGTTGTTCGCGGTACAGCGGTTTGCGGAGCAGCACCTCGCATACCGTCTGGACGAGGACGCTGGAGTTGCCCTCGCGTACCCGCGAGCGAGCAGTGAGGGAGCGGAAGGAGGTGACAAGATCAGCAAAAGTGAAACAACTTCTCCGGCAGCGAGCTCTTTCGTCCGACCAGAAGTGCTAGCAAATTTCCAGAACGTTTTGGGACTGAAGTTGGTGAAGAAGGGGTTGGAACGGCTGGAGTTTCTGGAAAAGCCGGGGATCGCCCGCAGGGGGAAGTGCGAAAAGGTGAACGAAGAAAAGTACTGTGAACGAACGGGGACTATCAAGCCGCCTTACCACCCAAAAGACGTGGGGTTTGTCATGAAATACGTACGGCAGTCGTCAAACATTTGGTGTCGTTGCAGTATCCGGACAAGCACGGTAACAACTACCCAATCGAAAAATCTGCAGACCACATCAAACTCTGGCAGCACGCAAACTGAACAAGAAACTAATCACCCGACGATCACATCATCTACTTCTGCAACCGACGCAGCTACGACCGCAGATGCCGTCAATACCACAAGTACTACTGCCCGAGAAGCTGCCGGACCTGCGACTTCTACTTCCGCCAGTGATACTGATGCTGGATCCACCTCCACGGCCACCGCCCGGCATGAACGAGCCATGAACACTTTGTAACCATGAGGGAAAACATAAACAAGGATACAGTATTAACCGGAAGGGGATGAAAATTTTCTTCGAAGCAGAACTTTCTTGTGTGCGATTGATATGTCAACGGAAAGCGAGACCAAAAAACAGCGAATAATCGAGTGTGCTGGAAGATGAATGTTGACGAAATTTGGAATGGAGTTTTACATCGTTGTAATTTTGATCGTTCACGATGGTAGTAACTACGGAATACTACCATTGCGGAAGATGAATGAACGGTAACGATTTTGGGTTTCTGGTTTTGCGGAAAAACGACCTGAACCAACTGTACGAACTTTAGAATGAACTTCTACCTCATCCAAGAGCAGAATGAACTACTTCTACCCGGGAAAGAAGCCTGGGTTTCGCGAGTCGGCGGTAAGTATCTACGAGGAGATGGTTTGGAGTCGCGGGTGTTGGATTTGGAGCACAAGGGGGAGCTTCGGTGCGATGGTGGGGGAGTTGGAATAGAACCACTTATCTCCAGATTGCTGCTGACTCTTTGAGTTTATGACCACTGAATTTTTTGCAAACCACTAACGAAGCTGCTACGCAACAGAACTAGAAGATGAGAGCACCAAGAATAGAAAGACGTGGCTGCACCCACTTGCATGACGAGGTCGCGTTCTTCTATGGCAAGAATATGCAGCGCAGAAAGATTCTATCTTGCAAAGTAGTACTAAATCTTCTAGTAGCCCAAGCGCCAGGCACCACCTCTTCCTGTGGAAAAATGCAAATAAGGTATGTCTATTGTTACGTTCCGGTCACCATTTTTTTCAAGTGGCTATAACACACTGGGTCTACGCTTCGTATCGGTTTGTTTTTTCGATCTGAAGGTCATCTAGTACAAGTGAAGCACCTCCATCGCCAAACTTTCGAGGAGTTGTCGCAAAAATTTACGAATCATCGGCCGGGCGACGAGCGACTACTTCCTTGCAGACTGTCGTGGTTTTTTTGCTTCAAAATCGAGAGTTTCAGTTTCTTGGAGAAGGGTAGGCAAATTATGGAAAAATTGCAAACTCGTGACCGTCTTCCTTTTCTTCAAATTTGTCGAAAGTCTGACTACAACCGAAACCTATGAAGAATCGTTCCACACAGTAGGGCTTGCAGGAGAGTAATAAAGGCAACCCCACCAGGCGAAATAGACAATCTACCCCAAACAAGACTTTAGAAATAAAAGTGAAACTACTACCCTCTGATACGCGAAGAAACGAGGAAGTACTGCCTACCTGAGCAGCGACGACGAGGTTGCATCGAAAATGCAAAACGGAAACCCAAACTACGGAAACCCGTGGTCCTCCCGGACGTCATCGTTAGCGTCCACAACCAGCAGTAATTTCGGCTTCTACGGGGCGTTCAGCAAAAATCGGACTGCGGCGCCGACTTTCAGTACCAGACCGAACGGGACTGCCACCGCTCGCAGCCCCGCGCAAGTCGATCTCCTCGGGTTCGGCGGCAACAATCTCGTCGCGGGTGGACAACTAGTACATCAGCCGGCTGGCGGTAGGGTCGCTCTGGTGCAACAAGCCTCGTCGCGGGCCGCGCAAACCCCAGTGGTGCAGCAGGATCGACACCCCGTGCAACTGGCGCCGACCGTCGTTGAAAAAGGAGATGATCCGTTCTCGAAGGAGGTGGTGCAGCTGGGGAAAAGTGTGGTGAAAGTGAAGAAATTGATCGTCCCGGCGGTTACCCCGCCGGCCCCCGCACCGGCAGGAGCGGTGGCTCCTGCTGCGCGCGTCGTCGTGCAGCAGCAGCAGCAGCAGCAGCAAAATGCGATGAACAGTACCGACGCGCAAGGCGACACCGTGATGGGCGATGCTGCTTCGCCAGCGGAAGTTGTGGTCCGTAGCGCGCCGGCCGTGGAACGACCGCAGACCTCCGGGAACAATCGCTCGTTGGCACAGCAGATCCACCAGGCCAGCAGGCAGTTGGCAGGTAATTATACGAGTGCAGGCGCAAAGAGCGCGACTTCATCTAATACGATTCCGACCACTAGTACGACGCCATCATCTACATCTGGTACTTCCCAGCGGGTTGTCACGACTAGTGCGGCACCAACATCCTCGTCGACTAGTACCCCTTCGACCACAACTACTACTGTTACTGCTTCTGCACCGGTGACCTATGCGCACAACCCCGCGCAATTGGCGTCCCGCGGTAATACGGGATACATGCGCATTAATGCCGGGGCGGCACCGGTATCTATGTTATGACTATTTTTCGATGCATGGCAACATTCTTTCGTCTTTCAGGTGTTTTGGAAAGTTTTTCATAATGTTCATGTATCTTCACGACCATGCAGAAATAATCACAGCTGCAATATTAAAGAAAAAACCGCAGGCTGGCTCTTCCCTGACGGGCGAGATGCACCGGTTGGGCAACGTGCTGCAGACCGGCATGAACACTGTGACGAACTTAGAGCGCGGCGTCGCTAACCTGTCCCAGGGTCAGGAGACGAGTACGAACCTGCTTTCCGAGGTGTTCAGCCAGAAGATGCAAGATATCGAATGCAAATATGTCTGGGTCTGGGAGGTTGCGAAATTTGTCATGCTAGTCTGACATAACTATGAGCTCTGTATTGCGTGGCCGCACTGAGCTCCTCTTGCCTGTCATGCAAAAACGCTGCTACTTATGCAGAGTACGCAACTGAAAACCATGGAAAAACTTGTCATGCTTGCCAGCGCATGTGCATGACAGTGCGCTCCCGATTCCCTCCCTTGCATCACAAGTTCCCAGACCCAGGCATATTTGCAAGCCATACAAGATCTGGCACAGCAGAACAAGCAGGTGTTCGACGAGTCGCTCAAGGAGCACCTGAAGCCCATCTCGCAGATGTGCGAGCGGATCTTGCTGAACACCAGTCTGATGGCTGCCGGGGCGAAGCAGAAGCAGATTAAAACGGTGGACTACAAGAAGTTCGACCACAAGGGGATGAATCACGCCTCCTCTTCCCGGAAATCCTCCCCGCGGAAACCCTTCGACAAAACCCACGAGTCCGGCTTTCCGGCCAGGTAAATAAGAATAACTACAACGATGGTTTTTGTCATGCGGATTATGGACGACTGGGTGTAAATAGGTAGGAGTGGGAGTGCCAGTGATTGCATGAATGATAATTTTTTGTTCGCAGGGCTCATACAAAACCTGATACAAACTGATTTACAAAACAAGAAATTTTTGACAATGATCCATTACAGGCAGCGGGGACACAGCGACTTGAGTAACGGTTTGGGTATTGGCGGCGGTTCCTCAAGCTCATCGTCCTCTTTTTCCGTCTCTGCAGCTGCGCCGGCGGCAGGGGCGACCGAAATCATGCATTTGCTATCAGGTGGATGCAAATATGTCTGAGTCCGGAAGAGTGCACTTGCCTGCCATGCATGTCCTGGAACAGAAATCAGGTAGTCCGAAATGCACGCAGAGCATTACAGGTTCCGCGAGGTAGGTTTATCAATGCCAGCCACGCATGAGAAATCCGAGATTCATCGTGTCGTAGAAAAAGGGTCGGCAGCGTTTCGCACTGCTGCAATACAGATTTCTGCTCGCTACAGAATTAGCATGTCAAACTCGCAGTCTTCCAAGAAACCTAGATCGATATTTGCGATGCATAGCCTGAAGAGGAGTCGGAACAGGAGCCTGAAGAAGAGTCGGAGGTTATCAAAAGGAAAAATCCCCCCTCCCCATATCAAAACGGAAATCTGTAAGGCAGATTTGTTGTCACAAATCAGCTTTGTCATGCTACACGGGAAAAGATGCGGACTGTAGTGCTAGGTGGCGTGGCGAAGCCTTGCATCTTCAGCATGAGAGGAGGCATCTGAGAGTGGGAAACAGCATGACAAATTGTCTGCAAACGAGGCAACGACTGCGGCTCTTGGCCTTCTAGCATGACAAATCGATTTGTGACCTCAAATACAGCATCACAAATTTCGTTTTCGATATGGGGAGGGGGGATTTTTCCTTTCGATAGAGGTGTCTCGGCCCCCTCTCACCGACGTCGAGAGGGGAGAAATCTCGACAGGGGAGATGTCGTTGTAAATCTTCTTTTTCTCGCAATACAAAAACAAAATGACACTAACTTTTTACACATAGTGAACTTTTTTTGTTTCCATATTAAACAATGAACTTGTCAATGACCCTTGTGGTTCAGAACGTTTCAACATAAAGAAAAAAATACATCAAAACGAGCCTTTCCTTACTAGAAATGTCGTGTCTTTCCCTTTTGTTGATGATCGTTTGCAATTTACTGCTCTTTGAAGTCAGGATTGATTGAATTGATTTTAGTTTGATACTTTAAATTTTGAAACCACTTTTGAAGCGAAATAAAATCTATTAGTTGCTTGCTCTCTTGAAGACCGGAGATTTAGTTTTAGAAATTGCTTTGCCCCTGTTCCTCTTTTGGTTGTTTGAGTCGAGTTTTCGACTGTGTACTACTTCTACTTGTTTTATTTGCACAGGCAAGTAGACGAAAAACCACAACTAGAACTTACGGCTGCCAGTTCTCGCTGCTTTTTTTCACCGACGACTCAGCCTCCTAATTTTTTTGTGCGAATCCAGGTGGTGCAGCGAAAACCGCGGAATATCGAGACCTGGAGGCACCGAAACGTGAGAAGCCGAATAGCACAGATACCATTAAAATTTAGAAATTATTCGACAAAAATGAAAATTTATTCAAACGACGAATATCCAATGAGAAAAACCCATCCTAAGTTCTCCTGTGCATGTCAGCTTTCTGCAGAAGTGATACTGGTTCCGCAGAAAGGAACATAATTCCAGCATTCATACACATACGCGGTCTTTATGTTTTTGCAGACGCGATAGAAGACTGGGATGGGTTTTTTTTCTGCATACCAGACGACGGACCCTGACCGAGAGGAGGATGATTGGAATCCGCCCGAAGCAGGTCTCGGCGTCTCCCTGGCCATCAAGTCATGATCACGTGGCGACTCCGAAGAAAATGAAAAACGACAGATGTAGTGTCCCAGTGGAAAGGCAGGGCGACACGCGCCACAGTAGTACCAATAAACGATGGGTAGCACAGTAATATGTGACTATGCTTATTCTCCCATATCGAGATGCATGAAGAGCGAGGAAAAAATAAAAAATCCTACTCTTGACGGAGCGAGCGGGGAGAGTGTTGAAGGTGAAGAGGGAACTGCGACGAGATAACAACGACTATGCGCCGTGGGAATTTAGAGAAGTAATAGTACACGACAACGTTGCGGTCATTTGATATTTAGAATAAAAGTCTATCATACAGAAGTAGGGCAAGTCGCCAGGGCCCGCAAAAATCCGGATCAAGATGGTTTGCGCAGGGCTTTCAAGCCGCGACGCCACCAAACTGCTCCGTCGGGTAAGTTTGCCGGCGGAGCAGTAGGCGCGGTGAAGAAGATGTCACGGCGACCCGGGCGAGGAATTGCAAGCCGTAGGAGCGCCAGTGCCGGGCGCCAAGACGCCGCTTTTTTGCGTGTTGCGCAACGTTTCAAAAATGTTTTGCAACATGCTCAAAGCGCGCCGCGGCAGCCCATGCAAGAAGCGAGGCAAAAAAACCGCGCCCGCCGAGTCTCTGGCCCGCCCGTGCTTGCCTTTCTGTCCGTCTACCCTGCCAGCCGGGGCCTCCCCGCCCCGCCGGCCATGGCGGCCCCCCGCCGGCCGGGCGGCCGAGTATGTTTTGGCCCCGGACTCCTCGTTCCACGACGCGGCCATGCGCGGCGCACGCCTCGCATCTGTTCCCTGCCCGATAGATGCGGCGGCGCGTTTGGTGGCTTTGGCCCACCTTGGTCTAACCTCTTTGCCATCCGCCTCTGTAGCGCCTTGTGTGTTTCGTTTGGCCTCGCGTTAGCGGCGTGATCATGTCAGCGCACTGCCGAAATTCATGATAATGTGGCATGAGCATGGCTCGTTGGCGCAGCTGTAGAAGAATGGGCCTATCTATTGCCTGCATGAGCGGGGGTGATAGCAGTGGCTCTCAAACAATTGCTTTGTCTTTGCTTTCTCGCTTCGCATGGTGCGTCATTTTGGCATGGAGGTATTCCGGAGTTCTGTTTTTTACCTTCGGTAGCGACCCCCGCCGAGCAGCGAGAGCGATTTGCTTTTGCATCGCGCACTTGCTGACCTTCTGCACGTCGATGGGAAAATTCCCTATCTGAAGTAATATAGTGTATTGAGAAGCTACTTCGAGTTTGAGTTAGATCAGCGGAGGGGGTGTCGATCTTTTCGAGCATCAGAGAGTGGATGGCGTCCGCTTCTTGGATGTTTTGAGCACCTCCTAGCGAAATCAAGTAGAAGTCCATTATTTAGTAATAGTCCTACGTGATGAAGAGGTTGAGGACGGCCTGGCGTGCGAACAGCTATGCTTTCTCGCGTTTGATGGATTGGCCAGCACGGACGCACCGCTGGCCAGCATGGATGTACCCATGCCCGGCGTAGCAGTAGCGGCCCCGCAGCAGCAAAGTCCGGTTGCTATTGCCAAGGCGGCGCCCGTCGTTTTGGGCCATCGCAGATCAACCACATATCCTTCCTGCTGGCGCGGCGTCATCAGGGCCGGGCATTATTTCCGTCGCGGTGTTGTCAGGGCCGGCCAATAATCCAGCCGCCCGCTTTTCCAGCAGGCGCGCCAGCCGGGGCCGGCCCTCCCGCCCTCTATTGCTTTGGCGCCCACCCGGTGGGCCCCGCGGGGCGCGCGCCCCATTGCCGCGCGCGGGCTTTTCGTTGCTTGGCGCGAGGCTGCCTGAGGCATAGGCGGGGCCGTGGCCTGTTTGCCGCCGGCCCTCCCGTATGGTGCTCTTCGTTCCTCACCGGGCACGAACACGAGGCCCCCTCGGTGGGCGCCAGGTGAGAGAATGCATTTCTCCGCCCCCCGCGCCGGCCATTGCCGGCCTTGCAGAATGGTGTGGCGCGTTGCGTCTTGGTCCCACCGCTGCGCGCCGAGCGATCCGCCCCGCGGTTGCCGCTGTGCAGGATTTGTTCGGTTGCTCGTGTTGCTGAGGGAAGATGTGTTTATGTCCTGCCCGTGCTCTAGCCATGGGGAAGGGGATGGGCGTGCGGCCTTAGTCGCCGACGCCAGTCAGACCAACAAATGCCTGACGCCGGGTTCTTTGTTTTCGCTTCCATGCTTCGTAACGAGAGCAGCAACATGTCTACAACGCGGTAGGTTGAAGAGGGCGTCCTGCTTCGTCGATGTCTATTCAAAGAACGAGTTTCAATGATGAAGACGCCATTGATCTGTGGGTCGTGTGAGAGCGGGATATGCAGCATAACATGTGACGTCGTGTCAGTTTGTTATTGTTCATTCGTTGAGGGAGTTTCTCTGAGTTCGTCTACGTAAAATAAAACTAGCGCGATATCCTGTCTCCGTTTCTGGCATTTTCATGTTCAACGGTGGTGGCACTTACCCGTACCTCTGACAATGCGCACATCGCTTACCAGTATACTCAATGAGGGGTCGTGACATCATGGTGGAAGAGGCGCCAGGAGTGCTTCAGTCTCCTCCCCGCGGCCGCGGGGCCCGGTGCGTCGACGGTTTGAATCCTCTACCATGACCTTCGCGGGCCACATGATTCGGGCGAACGCGCTGGACCGGAAGCACAGCGCGGCGGAGAATCGAGCAAGCGGAAAGCTGGCCGCGGACGACATCTCCCGCATTTTAGTCTACTGGACCGGGACCCGTTTGCGGTATGGGGGCCGGCCGCTCTTCCGCGTGCTTGGATTGCTTTTCGGGAAGCGCCTCCCTGCCCGCCCTCTCTTATCGTGGCCCACACCCGCCGGGGCGCGCGGCGTGCGCGCCCCATTGCCACGCTCGCCCCCCCCGCGATTTTAGCGGGGCGATTGCGCGGGGTGCGCGGGGCCCGCCGTGTGGCCTGTGTGCCGCTCGGCGGCCCTTGATGTGCCCCTCCGCACCGGCCATGGGGGCGCGACCCCCTCATCTGCGGCCGGCAGTTGCATTGATTTCTCCGCCCGCCGCGCTACTCAATGTCGGCCCGGCAGGGGGATGGGGCGCGGTGTGTCTACTTGGCGCCATCGGTGCGTCCCGGGCGGGCCTTTCCGTGGCTGCCGCTGCATAGCCTTTGTTTCCTCGTGCTTACTACCAGAAGGAGCAAGCGGCTTCTGCGTCGTGCTCGTGCTCCATGGGCGTGCGGCTTAGTCATGTACCTACTTACACCAACTAAGGCTGCGTGCCGGGTTATTTGTTTTCGTTTCCATGGTGTTACGACGTAAAAAGTGCAGCAGTTGATTCTCGTAGAAGAAGTGCATACTATGTTTAGCTCGGCGCAATTGAATGAATATAAAAAACAAAAAGGGAGAGCGTTTTGCTTGTTTAGCGTCGCCGCAAAAACCTAGTTTAAGTTTCCATGATGGACGCACCATTGATCTGTGGGTCGTGTGAGAGCGGGGTATGAATAACATGTGATGACTCGTTGGTTGAGGGAGTTGCTCTGAATTCGTCTATGTATAAAAGAAAAACTAGCGCAATATCCTGCTTCAGCTTCTTGCAGTTACACTTTCAACTTTAGCACGTAGCCGTATGCACGACATCAGGGGTCGTAATATTGAATGATCCAGGCAGGCTCAAAAATATTTATTCGTGCACTGGCGGAACATCCTCGTCGATCCGGTTAACACCTGGGAAAATGCATGTCCTCTGTAGAGTAGTCGGCTACGAGCAGGATGAGAGTTTGGTTGTCTCTCTCGGGATGCAATCATGCCTCCAAAAGAGGCGGCAGGGCATTGTAGCAAGATTTGGAGCTCTAGCTCTTGTACCAAATAGCTCTTTTACAACATAATTGTAGGCACTGGTGCAAGAAATATAGGTTTCGGATCGACATTTTTGACTAGAAAAAATGCCCCAGTCTCCTCCCCGCGGCCGCGGGGCCCAGTCCGTCGATGAATTCGGCCAGGAGATCCCCGCAGACAGTATTGCGAAGCCGCATGACAAAGACCAGGAGACAAGCGCGAAAACGCAAGGGCAGATAGCTGAAGGTGCCGCTGGAGAACAAACGAAACCGACGTCCCCATCGTCGGGGGAACAAAGTGCCAGCACAACTGCCCAGCAGCTGACTGGTAGCTCATCTTCCTCTTCATCTTCTTCTCCAAGAACTGGCGATGGCACTGCAAAGATACCCATTGGCGTCGATGGAGAATCGGACTCGCAAGGTGCAGCGGCAGGTGCCACTACATCTTCCTCGTCTTCCTCAGGTACAGCAGTCGAAAATACGACTGTACCCTCCAAAGATGTTGAGCAGGATCCTATCGAAGTGGCGCTCACCCCGGCGCTACAGCTTCAGATCGCGGACAATCTGGCGTTCGAACGGGAACAAAAGGAACAGCAGCAGGAACTGATTCCGTTGCCAACTAAACCGGAGGAGAGTGTTACCGACTATGTGAAGATTTTTGAGGAGGACACGGTGACCACTTCAGGAACAACCACTGCTGCAAATGATGCTGTGCCATCTACTTCCGGGCAAAATTTGCACAACCACCAACCACCCGCTTTCGACCCGCCAGAAATGCCCCCGAATTTGTCCACGGCGAATACTCTTAACCCAGAGCAGCTGCAACAATTTTCCCACCAGCAACAGCGGCAATACCCCTCCGCCCCTCCGGTCCCGCCCCCAATCCCGAGTTTCTTAACCAGCTTAGGCGGATTAGGTGGTGCTTTGTCGAAGAATTTGGGCGGTGGAACACTCCCGGGAGGACTGAACAATACCACGACCGGAACAAGTGACAATTCCTGGGCGTTTCTGATGCCAACCGCTATGAAGGACGATGGCAGTCACGGCGACGGCTCGCAACAGAACGGGATTGACACGCTGCCAATTAACCCGTTCATCCAACCACCGCCGGGAATTATCGCGAACGAAATCGCGGATGACGAGGATCTACCGGAGTTCGATTTGAATGGAGGAAATGCTGCACTAGGAACAGCTTCTTCATCTAGTACAACAACAACCGGATTTGTTCCATCACATCAAGGTCTACTTTCCGGTGGTGAGGAAGATGTTGACCAAGATGAGTCCCAAGGTCCTTCTGGTCCACCAGCAGCTCCAAATCTCGGGAGCAGTAGTTCTGCTTTCCTACCTCCACTCTCGTCCTCCGTGAGAACAAAGAGGCAGTTGAAGATCCAGTCGAGTGTTCACGACGGGATTGTGGACGAGGAGGACCAGAATGTGGTCATGCATCAAAACAACTTCCAAAGCATAAATCACGAGCACGACAGCGACGAGGACAAGGATGAGGATCACCGCAAGGCGTTTCTGTTGCAAAAGATGCAGTTTCAGAAAATGATGCAAGACATCAAATGCAAAAATGTCTGGGTCTGGAAGATTGCGAGATTTGTGATGCAGGTTTTCCATGACCCTGGATGTCTGTAATGCACGACCTAGCATCGCAGATTTTTAGAGGGCTTCCTGATGCCTACTCCGCATGACAAATGCCCTCCCCGCGTAGCACAAACTCGACTCCTCTTGCTGGTCATGCAATCATAATCTTTTTAGAGTCCAAAAACAGCATGACAAGTTGCAATATTCCAGACCCAGACATTTTTACACTTGATGCAAGAGAAGCAGGAACAACAGGAGTTGCAGGACGACCAGGAGCTGCGGACGAAGTTGCTGCAGGAATTGGTTGACCGGGATGAGGTGGAGGAACACGAACGTTTTGACGATTTTGACCACGACGATGATGATCTACGAAGACGACTTCACGAACAAGCGGAGGACCATGACTACCCCTCGCACCCGATGCGAACCAGAAGCATGCGAGAGGAACATGATGACGAGATTCTTGGGGGACATGAACTGCATCACCAGGTCGAAGATAATGACGAAGTCGAGCAAGCGGATCCAGTTGATGTCATTCCTGGGAACAATACTTCTTCCCGCATCCAGATGCCGCGAAGCCGCAACTTGATGTCCAGCAGCCTAATCCCCGCAACTTCTGCGGAAGCAGCACAAGACATCAAGAGAATGATTCAAAACCGGATCCGTGGGGTGCAAAACAGCATGACAAATAGCGTAGTTGCTGCAGCGACCTGTTCCACTTCTTCTGCCGCTGTCAACCGGCACAGCTCCAGGGAACATCACGAACAGCAGCAGCAGAAACTTTTGACGAAAAAGACCGAGGAACAGGAACAATTCGAGCATGAGGAGAAGATGAAGCAACTTAAAGACGAACAGATGTTTGAAAAATACGGGAAGTACTACGACCGAGGCCACATGTACTTCTACATGTGGCGCTCGCTCCTAGAAGCGCTCCGTTCCCAAGAGGTGAAGCCAGATTCCACCCGGACCAACCAGGAACGGGCGCAGGACATCGTCCGCGCGCTGTCGAATCACGCTTCGAACAGTTTGAACCAACAGAGGATAAATTCCGCGGCGAATTCGATGAATAGCAGGTTCCCGACGCCGTCTATGCCGAGTATGAGCGACCATTTTGGCTTCGGGTCGAACACAAGCTCCTTCTTCTCTTCGATGTTCGGCGGGTCGAGATCGTTTGGTGGTAATAACGAGCCGCCACAACTACCGTCCATGATGAACAGTGCGACATCACCCGTGGACCAAGATCCGAGCAAACAATTCAGAACTGGGGATTCGCCCATGATGTATTTGGTGCGACACTTGACGTTTCCGGAGGACACGGCTTTGGACAACGAGGATATTACACTGCACTTGGTTTCTTCTGCGAAGAAGAATAAGTTGACAGGAGCCCCACCCGCGTTAGGTGGAGATGATGCGGTGGACGGTGCGAGTGACAGCACAAAATCGGACGAGGAAGGCGATACAGAAGGAACTAAAGCAGCCGCGGATGGGCAAGATGGTGCAACAACTACTGCAGATGATGCCGAGAACAAGGCCCTTCTTGCGAACAAACCCGCGTCTCCGATTCTTTCCGAGCAGCAACACATCATCGCGCGATCCCCGGAACAGGAGTCCGTGATTTGCCGGTGCCAATTGGCGGCGCAGGAGGTCATGAACCATTTGCCAGCGGAGAAGCGGGAGCAGTTGGTGTCTTTACTCATGTACGCCCTGTACACAGCGAGACACGCCAGCTCCGCACACGTAACGGGGGTCATTAGTTATTGCGTCACGAACGGAGGAATCAAGCGATACAGAGGTACTTAGAGGACTTACAGGTGTCTTTCTGTCTGAGGCTTGATGGTGGTGATAGAAAGATTGTCTCTGCACGACTTGTCGTTATGCAACCTTTTGGTCGGACAGTTTCGCCTTTATTGCATGAACTGCATGACAAAAAGAAAAATCAAAACTTGATCAGAAATCTTTTTGGAGCGCAACGCCCAGTTTCTCCGATGGCTAGGCATGCTCATCCCAGAGCGCGGCGTCGCAGATTTGCTCATCATTCTTTACTATCAAATGTAAAAATGTCTGGGTCTGGAAACTCGTGATGCTGGGTGGCGTCTCATGATGAGGCCGCAAGTGCTGGCTTAGCATGACAAGTTTCTGAGCTTCTAGGTGTTGCCTATTCTGCATGGCAGACTGCGTTTCTGCATCACAGAAAAATGGAGCTCTTGGATAACGTGCATGACAGATTCTCGAGTCATGCCAGACAAGCATGACAAACTTGCACTCTTCCAGACCCAGACATATTTGCAATCCATATTGACCTCGGGCCCAACACAACGTTCTCGCCCGGACCGGTGAAGAACGTGACTGGGGATTTGGATCTGGCTTTTTTGCAAAACAGCTGCAGATTTTGGCTCCAGGAGTACCTCCACGATTTCGTCGTGGAATGCGAGAAGAATAACCGGACAAGCAGCGGAATTTTCTTGAACGGCAATTCTTGCAGTGAATCCGTCATGGACGACGTGAATCTGCAGCATGGGATTGTTCAAAGCTGCAATAACATCGCGTCTTCCACAGTCACCCTCGTTGAGGGTCGTGAGCAAGAAAACCCAGCGACATTATCCTTATCAAATGTAAAAATGTCTGGGTCTGGAAGAATGCATGTTTGTCATGCTTGTCTGGCATGGCTCTTAAATCTGTCATGCACATTGCCCAAGAGACGCTTTTCTCTGTCATGCGGAGACGCAGTTTGTCATACAGAATAGGCAACACCTACAAGCTCAGAAATTTGTCATGCTGAGCCAGCACTTGTGGCCTCCTCATGCTACGCCACTCAGCATCACAAGTTTCCAGACATCCAGGGATTTTTACATTTGATAATCCTCCCCCATCGACAACAAACGGTATTTGGAGGATGACGTGATCCTATCCTGTGCAAGAGTATCGTACTCGTATTGCAGGCATGCATTAAAAATCTTTTTCTTGAGGCAAATCCGCATTACAAATTTTCTTCGTCATGCTGAGGAAATTTGTAATGCATTTATACGAGTACGATACTTTTGCACTGGATACATCCCCCACTTCATGACCTTTCTCCTCCGAGTCCTAGAGCATTTGTATGCATTGCAAAAGTAACGTACTAGTATGAATTGCATTACAAATTTTGTTTTTGGCAAGAAGAAAGATCGAATTTGTAATGCTGTTTTACGTTAGCAGGAAGATTTGTCATGCGTATTTGCAATTAAGTAGTACGAGTACCAGTACGATACTTTTGCAGTTCATAATTTGGAAAAAATGCCGAAATCCCGGGAGTCCTGCGTGTTGACCTTCATCCAGACTTTAGTTGCCCAATATCCTAAGCAAAAACGTCCCCACCCCATAGTAAAGTTGGGAATCTAGCAGCACAAATCTCCAACTTTTGGAAGCTGTGCATGACAAGTTTCCCTCTGTAGTGTCGTGCTGGTTGTCAAGGGAACCGCATGAGAAAGCCACTTTCTCATCCTGTTTACAGCATTACAAATTCCAAAACGCGGTTGGTAATGCCTCTCATGCCGCTGCGCATTACACATGTTCCTGTCATTGCCCATTTGCATGACAACTCTGGGGTGGGGACGTTTTTGCTCAGGATACCCAAGCGGACCTGTTCACGTTCCTCTCCTGCTGCGTTTCCAACGAGAACAAAGACTACTGCTGGGACGCGTTGCGGTGTATTGAGATTTTACTCCAGATGGACAGCAGTTTCGCGAAAAAGTACTGCTTTGAAGAGTTGCTGCACAAGTGGATTTACAAGCAACCAGATAGGAGCTTTGAAAAGTTCAACGCATTTTACCCCGCGAGCCCGATCATTCCAGACGTTTCTGGTTTGTTGGGCGGGTCGCCAACATTAACCTCGGTGAATTCGACCGCCGTGCAGGTCGGGGCTATTCAGTTACCGCCGATAGGAGTATCATCTGTGTCGTCCTCTGCAGAAGTTGTACAGCCTGTGACAATTGAACCGTCAGATCCGACCTGTGAGTTCCGGTTATCGGGGATGAAACCGACTGCATCGCAGGACTCAATCCCAGGAAACAACGACGAGAAAAACTGCGTTTTGAACCTGAACTCCAACAGCAATTCAAATTCGACCTCCAGCTCCAAATCGTCTTCCAAATCGTCCACCAGTTCGTCCCAGAAGACCGGCTACAGCTCTTCCAATAAATCGGACAACGAGAAACCTACCGTGAGACTAGGTTCCTACGTCACTTCGATGCTGCGATTGATCGCCAGCACGGCGAAGATCATTTTGGAAGAGGAACAGGAAGAGCAGCGGTTACATTCCGCTTTCAACAGTCCGGGGACGCCACCACCGCCGGGGATAAGTTTAATGGAACATGAACGGATGAGGAGGGAGAGGGAGAGCTCGTTGTTGCAAGAAGGGGTGCATCACAGTGCGGATAGTCTTCTCGGAGGCGGGACAACGACGAACACAAACAGCACCGCTGAAATCGATCCGGTAACTGGAGCACCTGCAACATCAAAACCTTTGCGGCGAGAGCCGAACATTCTGGAGAGAATTCCGATCGAAATTTGGCAGCGATGGCGGCTATCCTGTGCAAAAGTATCGTACTCGTAGTAATTGCAATCCTGCATTACAAATTCCTTTGTCAAAGTAAGTCCGCATTTCAAATTTTATTTCTCATGCGGAGGAGGTTTGTAATGCATTTATACGAGTACGATGCTTTTGCATTTGATAGCGGCTGTGGTACCACCAAACGACGAAGCGGAACCAAACCGCGCACAACTATTTGACACAGCTGTTCAAACTGTTGACGACCTATGGGAGCTACGAATTGCAGCGGCAGATTTTACCAGAGGTGTTCGAAAAGGCGATCGAGGACTACGTGGAGTTTAACGAAGTGATCTACAACGACCAGGAATTTTATGACAGTGCATATCTGCCCCGCCCCCTCATTTGTATAGCATGAACGGCAATACAAGCGCCAGCGAGAATACATGTTTTGCATGACAAGTTTGCACAGGATTGTTGCCGTGCCATTTGGGCTGCCAGAACTTGTCATGCAAACAGTGCTAAGCGGCACAGCCTCGATTCTGCATTTTGCATGACAGATGAGGGGGAGGGAGAGTTGTGCACATTCACACACTTTCCAACGTGTGCGAGGAGTTGATCCAACTGCTAAAGCAGCATAAGTGCCTGGAAAGGTGCGCGGGGCAGCAACGGATGCAGCTCGCGGATTTGCTGGAAGAGGAGGATAGCGACAAATTTGAAGACTGCGGGTCGCCGAACGTTACGGAAGTCGGGGAGGATTTGGTGATTGACGATATGGACCAGGACTTGAACATCGAAGATTTTCTGGAGCCGAAGGAGGAAACCGAGGAAGCCGATCATGGGGAAATAAAGGAGACTGGCTCAACCGGGGATGAGAATGCATCCTCGAAGGATCACGCATTTGGGCTGCTGGAAAGGGTACTTTAGCTGAATAGAATTCGTTGCTTTCCTGAAGACTAGTATCTTGTCATGCCTGACGTAGGAGTCCGATCTGTCATGTGGAAAATACAAGAACACCATAAAAAATCTTCGACAATTTTAATTTATCAGGACGACGAAGACCACGACGATGATTTCGGTTCTCCGTGTGACGAGAATAACGCGGTGATGGAAGAAGAGCGGAATCTCAACGTCAAGCAACCAACTTCCGCGTCGGATGATGAAGATTTGGAAAACAACAACACCCTAACCAGTTTCGCCGAGAACACGGTGGATTCTGCGGTGGGCTCAGAACTGGATGAATTGAAGCAGTGGGTTGATCAGGACGGTGACAAGAATCCACGACCGGAAGATTGGGCAGGAGATGATGTTGACAAAATCCCAGATGAGCACCCTTCGCCCGAGGATGGGGATGTTGACAAAAAGCAAAAATCGTCCGAAGAGGAAGACGACGACGATAACAACCCCGACCCTTGGTCGCCGAGGAAGAATTCGAGGAGTAAAAACGCGAAGTCAACACCTCCGAGCGGTGGGGACGTCGAGGAGCCAGAGCTACAAGAAGAAGGAGCTGCACCAGCAGCAGCAGCACCCGTGGTCAACAACAACGCAGCAGCTTCTGATGAAGTAGAAGTACTAGACGGCGCAGCACCTCCATTAGACGGAAAGGAAATCGTGGAGGACCTGATCCCGCTACTTGAACAGGTCGACAATACACTCATCACGGTCCCGCAGCAAAGAACCCACCCGTTGTTCAAACCCTTGACCGGCGATGACCCGCTGAAATTGCAGCAACTGTTGGAATATGCAATGAATGCAAAAGCATCGTACTCGTAGTAATTGCAAATATGCATGACAAATCTTCTTCCTAAGGTACATCCGCATGAGAAATTTTATTTCTCATGCTGAGAAAATTTGTAATGCGTTTATACGAGTGCTGCGATACTTTTGCACTTCATATGGAGCAGCAAGACAACGAGAAAATCATCAAATTCGGCGAGGATTTGGAGGACGAAACGACCAAGGGGGAATTTCTGAAGAAGTTGCAGAAGCAGACGAGACAGTTGCTGCGGACAAACGAGGAGATCATGATGAGTCGTGGGGATCACAAAGTTTGTGATGCGGAAGAGCATGATAGTGACAACAAATCCATCTCTCCCAATAGCGATGAGGAGATGATGGCGGAATTTATGGAGAAGAATCATCCCGAGAGCTGCATAAACGGCGATAATTCTGGTGCAGCAGGTGCACCCGACATCAATTTTAACCCGGATGATTTCGATTTCGGAGACGATAATTTCGATTCTTCCCCCAACCCGATGTTTAATTCGACCCAGGGTTTGAATTTCAACAACACTATGTCGTTGAAGGGCTTGGCAGGTACAAATCCGAACGACGCCGAAGACTTTGACGACGTAGACCAGAAGGTCGCAGTTCGGTGCGGGGCGAACAACATTAGAATGTTCTACAACGAGGAGGGGGAGGAGGAGGAAAGCGACAACAAAACCGACCGAGAAGTTGCAGCATTGTCGGATGAGGAGGACGAGGTAAAGACAGACCCCGGCGATCCCGATGAGTTCATTATCGACCATGGCGAGATCGAGAACGAGCAGGCTGCTGCTTCTGAGGAGCCGGAACAAGAAAAACCCTCGGAGCTGAATGAAGAACAGGAGGAGGACTTTTACTTCAAAGCGAGTCACGCACTGCATCACGAGAACTACAATTCAGCAACTGGCGGCGACTGTTCCACCTCTGTCATCAAGCAAGAGGACACAACAGCTAGCGGGAGTAGAAAAGCAGGCTCTCCCGGACCGCCGATCCCGCCGTTAACCGCGGAGAATATGAGGAAGGACCTCGTCGTGCAAGAGGAACAGGGGAAGACCACTGCAACGGAAAACGACAAGAACCCAGGGTCGGGTTCTTTGGGTGGTGCGTCAGCTGCAGGCGCAGCTGCTAGTAGCGACCCCGCACATGAACAAGTAGAACCTGCGTTCGAGGGAAGCCGAAGCAAACAAGAAAAAGACACCGAGGATATTAACAACTCCTCGCCCTTCGAGGAAGAAACGGCGGAGGATGAGGACTACGAAATGCATAACGATGTAAATGCGGAGATTATTGCTGACGCACAGCAAGAAGATCAAGATCCAGCGAGCAATAACTACTCCACCCCAGAAAGCGAGGATTCCCCCAGCATTCGCACCTCCGAAACCATTTTGGATTTGAAATTCAAACCGAAACCGAAGAAGAGGAGCAGACTGCACTCCAAAATCGTGACGCACAAGTGGCTGAAGCAGGAGGGCACCGGGGCATATGTGGATTTGCTGGACCACTTGGCGCAAACGATTTGCAATAGTAGTAATCAAAATCATGTGCCGGCGAATGGGTGTGGGACGAATTATGGCGGTGGAGTGAGAACAAGAAACAATAGCAATTTGTTACCCCCGCCGCCCCCACCACTTCCTGTCGGATCCCCCGGCGGTGGAACAGCTGGAGTTGGTGCAGCTGCTTCATCTTCTTCTCCGAAAGACGAAGAAATGGCAGAAGCTGGTGATGGGGGAACCAGGAAAAGCGATGCTGATTCAGCGGACATCAAGCAAACACCAACGAACATCTCCAATTCCATCCCGAAACCGCTTTACGACCGCTTGGAAAAATATGGAAGCGTCAGGATTGAAATCGTCAGAGTTGAAATAGTTTGTAATGCATAAAGTGCAAGGCATGAAGTGCCTGTCTTGCCGGGATGGCAAGTGAGGCAGATTGTGAGCCTATTTAAAGTTTGGCATAGAGCTGCTAAAGGAGCATGACAAAAGCAGTCTTCTGTGCCCAAACAGCATGACAAATTGGATTCCCGTACTCCGAAAATTTGTCATGCGCCGCTTGGAAATTGGTCTTCCAACTGGTAACCATTTTATGCATGACAAATCATTTCAACTTTGTCGATTTCAAACCTGACGCTTCCATAAAAAACTAGTGGAAAAACGGTCCTGCATCCAGGAATTCTGGGGCTGGCAGGCGCGGTATGAATGTGCACAGCTCCCCCTCTCCTCATTTGTATTGCATGAACAGCAATAAGTACAAACACCACCTCCACTACACGTGGAGCCTGTACATGACAAATTCATGCACCTAGTGTAGAAGTACTGTTTGGGCTTCCGGAAGAATCTGTGATGCAAACAGTGCCAGCACAGGGAAGTCGAAGCACTTGGATTTGGGGTTTTGCATGACAAATGAATGGGAGGGGGAGTTGTGCACCCTCATACGCGGTTCAAGAAGATGCAACTGCAGAACCCCTCTGCGACGGTGCTGGACCTGTTTTCGGACTCGACGGTCAGTACCGCGATGAAAATCTACCAGAAGGAATTGGAGGCAAGGCGGAGTAGTAAGCAGGGGAGCAGCAAGGGCGTTTCATCGAATTCTGGTGGAAACAAATAAATCCAGAATGAGAAAGTGGTCGTGGGACCATCGGGTTGGGATTGGTTCCTTTGAAGAAATAGCAATCAGTGGACCACGAGAAAAAAATGCATCAGACAAAATGCTACTACTGTAACAACATAGTACTAGCAGGGTCAGTAGAGTATCTATTGTTCAATAATTTCAATCAAAGCCGTAGCTTTTTCCATCTATGAGATAATTTTACCGAAGCACTATGCCGTAGGCTTTCACTCTAAAGAGAAATAAGATCATTCAATGCCGAAGATGATAAGTACGCTTTCTATACCGCTAGTACCGCATAGGTAGCTGCATCTGTAATGCAAAGGCTGCATTACAAGAGCCAGCACCACGAGAGCAACAGCAGCTCGCTTTTAGTTCAATCGTATGACATCAAAACAAGATTACAGTGTTCATGTTAGAAATTAGTTTCGGATAATATTATTGCACATAAAGAAGCGGTTTATTCAAACTGACTGAAGAATTTTTTCAAGTGGACAGCATGCAGCACATCCAATCCTGTTGAGATAGTGCTAGTGCATACGTGTTTACGTTATTCCGTTACCATGTTTGCAGAAAAATGTAGTATGCTTGTTGTCACTGCGACTGCCTGGTCGTACTGACACGCTTCTAAATGTTTACCAATTGTAGAATCCATCAACCGGTATTTTCGTTTCAGTTTCTAAATTCGCAGGAAAAAAAGCAGTAGAGCGCTTACTTCTACCAGATTGCGACCGCGCAAGAAGATGCCGTTGCCATCCAATTTCCGAAATAAAAGCAGTACCTGTATGCTGTACATATGTTTGACAACCAACGAAATTTTAACAAAAAATGTCATCGTCTTCTTCGATATTCTGACTTTTTATGAGCTAAGACAGCTTCTACAGAGTCTACTTCAGTAGTAATAACATCTTCCAGTTGAGAACCTTAGCTCACTCAACGTATGACCCTGTGCTAGATAGAAAGATACACGACGACTACTTCAACATCACCGACAGGGTGTTCGGAGGTGAAGTAGAAGACAACCAGAGTGAAGAGATGTGCTGTGCTTCGTCGCCGTGTTGTTTTTCGTAGCTCTGTTGAATGAAGACGAGAGCGCATGATGAAGCGTGGCACACGCATCCGGCTACTATCTGTTGTATAGTCATCTGCTTCTTGGGTGCGTATTGGAGTTGGTGCCGTCCGGTATGGTTGTTTTGCATAATTTTTGCGAACGAACAAACGAGGAGATCATGATGAGTCGTGGGGATCACAAAGTTTGTGATGCGGAAGTAGATGATGGTGACAACAAATCCATTTCTCCCAATAGCGATGAGGAGATGATGGCGGAATTTATGGAGAAGAATCATCCAGAGGGAATAGGCGCTGAAGGTGCTGCACCGGATGGCTGTACCCACAACAACAATTTTAACCCGGATGATTTCGACTTCGGCGACGATAATTCCGATTCTTCCCCCAACCCCATGTTCAACTCGACCCAGGGTTTGAATTTCAACAACACTATGTCGCTGAAGGGCTTAGCAGGTACAAATCCGAACGACGCCGAGGACTTTGACGACATTGACCAGAAGGTCGCCGTGCGGTGCGGGGCGAACAACATTAGAATGTTTTACAACGAAGAGGAGGATGAGGAAATGGAAAACAAAACCGACCGAGAAGTTGCAGCATTGTCGGATGAGGAGGATGAAGTGAAAACCGACCCCGGTGATCCCGATGAGTTCATTATCGACCATGGCGAGATCGAGAACGAGCAGGCTGCTGCTTCTGAGGAGCCGGATCAAGAAAAACCCTCGGAGATAAATGAAGAACAGGAGGAGGACTTCTACTTCAAAGCGAGTCACCCACTGCATCACGAGAACTACAATTCAGCAACTGGCACCGACTGTTCCACCTCTGTCATCAAGCAAGAGGACACAACAGCTACCGGGAGTAGAAAAGCAGGCTCTCCCGGACCGCCGATCCCACCGTTAACCGCAGAGAATATGAAAAAGGACCTCGTGCAACAGGAACAGGGGAAGACTTCTGCAACGGAAAACGAAAACCAAAACTCGGGGTCGTGTTCTACTTTGGGTGCGTCAGCAGGCATAGCTGCTAGTAGCGAACCTGCGGCCGAGGGAAGCAAACAAGAAAAAGAGAACGAGGATAACACCTCCTCGCCCTTCGAGGAGGAAACGGCGGAGGATGAGGACTACGAAATGCATAACGACGTTGTAAATGGGGACGACGACAAGATGATTTGTGATGCAGAAGTCCCAACAACAACATCATCGAACAACAATAATTATTCCACTCCAGAAAACGAGCGCATGAAGCGTACAAACACGCGTCTGCTAGCTACTAATATTTGTCGTATAGTCATCTGCTTCTTGGGTGCGTATTGGAGTTGGTGCCGTCCGGTATGGTTGTTTTGCATAATTTTTGCTGAGCGTGAGCGAATCTAACCTTAAGCGTGAGCGAATTCATCAAGATGTCAATTTCGCTGTTCGGGCACAAAGTGCAATGCGTTCTCAGTCTGTGACTACATTTCTATTTTTGCATCGTTATTTCTATGTTTCTATTCATGGTTGACAGAAAATTCCTGTCCTTTTGCACCTGAGAGTACATTCTGCATGCGTCTGGTTGTGCCCTCTTTTCTCGAGAGTCCAGTTTGAGAGTCCTACAAAGGTAGATTTTGCACATGGATAAGAGTCAGGCTGAAGCTCTCTCCAAGTTACAATTATCTTTTTTGAAAAATGCAAAGCATCTCACAAAGCACATGAAGAACTTAGCACAAGGGGAAAAAACTTGCTTTGTATTGCATTGGTAGAGTTTGTTCCAGGAGAGAATCCGCGAGTGAAAATGCCAATGAGAGATGAGTTCTACGCTAGGAACATGCGCTGAGTCTTTAGGATCTTTTACTTTTTCTTTATGCGAATTACTCAGGGCTGGAGCCGCGGATCATGATCGATCTGCACCCTGTCGGCAAACGGGGTGCAGGTTTAGGCCGGTGCTTAAGGCGATAGGTGAAGACGTTCACCACCAGCAGACCGCAAGAACCCACACATGAAAATATTCGCTCTCATAATCGCTTTTGCTTTTTCCTATGCAAATCTGTCATGCTAATTTGCCTCCTGGGTGCTTAGTTGTTGGAGTTGGTGCCGTCCGGTATGGTTGTTTTGCATAATTTTTGCTGAGCGGGAGCGAATCCAACCTTAAG